TGATTCCCTTTCTTGAAAGGGTTCACAGTCTGCAAACGTTCATTTTCTCCAATTCCACTCAGCTAGAAAGCGGGCAAATGCAACAATGGTTAACCCACCAGTAAGCAGCTCACGTCTCTGGAACAGAAACTCCTTGGGTTAACAAAAAGCGGGCCGCACCAGGCAAACCACACGTGGTGCTGGTAAGGATTTATTTAGGGCTGGGCAGAAAAACACATCAAGAATGAGGCTCGGACTACTGGTGGTCCGAGGTAGCTCCAAATTTTGCACTATAGATGAGCTATGCAAAATGGAGCCCCCAAAGGCTCTAAGATTCATCTCTGAGTTAGGACGGGGCACATACAGCAGGAGGGGACGGCGGGCTACGGCACTAGAAGAAACTATGTACCTCACTTCTGTGTCCTAGTGCTAGAAGAATCTCTCTGCTGCACATCTGTCTCCGACAGACAAGAGTTGTCAGCTTCTCCTCCCAGGAAAACAGGGTCACACATACAAAAATATGGTCATAAAACTCAACACAGGTGCATATTGCTGTCGCTTGCTTTAGTCCGGCTATGTTTGGGTTTAACCACCGGTCTGTTTCCCTGGTACCAAAATGCCAGTTAAAACGGCACAAAACCGCGATTCAGGCCTGCCAGAGACAGAAGGCTGGTGCGAAATCGTGGTAACACCACCCTACAACAAGCCCGGCAGTCGAGAGAAGCTTCAACAACACAATGAGGCATGTAGTCAAAATGCACTCAAAGATCACAATGCCAAATAAGACATGAAGCACTCAATGTAGCCCTGGAACAAACAGCGGGTAGTCAGAAGTGAGACAAAGGTAGAGAAGGCAGAGAGATAGAGAGAGAATATTTCATGAAGAATCAGTAATACAATTGAAACAGATCTTCCACTCCCCTCCTCCTCTGGGACCTTCTCCCACTACTCCTCCATAGCCAAGTGTTGTTGCTGAGCCTGCGAAGAGATCTCATCAGCGTTTTCAGGGAGGGAGATTGGACGCAGCGTGACTTCCTCCAGCCTCCTGAAGTGAACCACAGCCCCAGGATCACCAGCGGCAACAGATAAGCCAAGGTAAGCCCCCCCCC